ACAGTCACTAAATTCCATTTGTAATATTAGTTACATAATCCAAATGGAAATATTAAGACGGTTGGTCCATTTGGTCAAAAGGTGGTAACAATTTTGTTTTCTCTTTTGGATCCTTTATCTGCACAACAATGATGAAATTCTTAAGGTGGTCGGATCTCCATGTATAAAAATTACAAATCACTATTACTTGGTTCACATTACATAAACCCACAAAGAAAAAGGTAAAAAAATAAATAAAATTTGACATTGATTGAAATTGATGTCCACCGCATCCACTTTGGGGCCATGCACTTTATCTTCATTCAAAATGTGGTTAATTTATCTTTGTTCAAAATGTGGTTAATTAACACTAGTGTCGGATTATTTTGGTGGATCAGAACTTGCTAAAAGGACTTGTGAGATTCCTTTTTATATAAGTTATTAGATTAATCTTATAGTAGATTAATCTATCAACTTAAATAAAAGATTTGATGAAATTGGATGTGTAAAGTAAGTTATCAGGGTTTTATTCAATTGGATTTGCTGAGTTTAGACATTCGATGCGGAGAATAGGTTTTGAAGATGGATGGGATTTGACATGATGTGAAACCTTCTTTTTTTTTTTTTTTTTTTTTTTTGTTCTTTTGTTTTATCAATTAGTATTTTTTTTCATATAATAGAAATTATTTAAGTTGATAGCTTAATTTACCATAAGATTAATCTGATAGCTCAGATGAAAATAGACCTCACTTATCCTCGAAATGAGAACATTAGGAGAGCAGCCCTGCTTGGTGGATATGACGTTTTTATTCAACTTACTGCATTTTGGATTCAAATCTTCTCTTTTTCGTTTAGAGTAGAAAAACTTACGTAGCACCATCGTTTGTAATTGACAAAAATTGTAAGTTAACTTTGTTCTTGTTTTTTGCAGAATATGCTTATACCCTACAAGTAGATGAAAAGAGTGATATATACAGCTATGGGGTGGTGCTGATGGAGATCTTAAGCGGGAAAAGATCAGTCGACGCCGAGTTTGGAGACGGGAATAGCATAGTGCATTGGGTTAGGTCCAAGATCAAGACGAAAGACGGGATCAATGACGTTTTGGACAAGAATGCAGGGGCGGGTTGCGAGCCGGTGAGGGAGGAGATGATGCAGATGCTTAGGATTGCTTTGCTCTGCACGAGCCAGAACCCGGCGGACCGGCCGTCGATGAGGGACGTGGTGTTGATGCTGCTTGAGGCCAAGCCCAAGAGGAAGTTGCTAGCTAGTGTTGGGCATGGCCACAATGGGAGCGGTTGTGCTGAGTATCATGATATTCCTTTGCCACAAAAGCCAGCAGCGGAATGTTAATAGGGTTATTAATTTCTTTTAAAAGCCTTAGAGGGGTTTTCAATTTTTTTTTTTTTTTGGGTTTTTTTTTGTCTTTTTTTTTTTGTTTTTCTGTTTTCTTTTCAAATGGTGGGGATTGGTATAGGAGAAGTGATTTCCTATTTTACTTTTATTTTAATGGAAATTTTCTCAAGTGTTACTATTATGTTCTTATATATGGTTTTGGGTTTGTGCATGTATGTGTATAAATTAATTAAGTGTTATATATTTTTACTAAAAACGTTTTCAATTATTTATAATATACTTTCCAACGAGTCCTAAGTGAGTTCACTAATATTATCAAGCTTTTTGTATACGGTGAGAAACTTACATGCATCGAAAGCACATGACGTGTATTACAAGCTTAATGTCACTCAAGAACATTCTGGTGGGAAGTGATGTGGAAGTACTGGACATAAATTCAAGGTCGGGAATGTGAAACTTTGAAGTATCTTTTTACCTTCTGTTCTAACACTGTGAATTGTTTGTGCTACTCCTGCTTTTCTAGATTAGCAAACTTTTGAAACTTTTCTTGTCCATCATGGCCCTAAGTTACTTCTTGTGATATACCGAAAACTTGTATATATGATCGGCAGCCGCAAGCCTGCAACCTAACTATGAATTCACTTAATATGTTTATGATTAGCAATTTAGCATATCATTGGATCTTTATGCACACAGATTCTTACGTATACACATATACGCATGTATTCATGTACGTGTGTGTAGTTTGCATATGGCGTATATGGGGAAGTAGGATTCAGTACGTATTTTTCATTTCCTTGTATTGCTTGCCTTAGTTGTTATTGTCTATTGAAATCTAACTCGATCGGGCTGTGAAAGTCGAGCAAGATATTGCACTATCTGTTCATTTCAATTGTTACTGAGAATATCATCTTACCGAGAAATGCTAGTGCTGTATAATTTTGCTTGGTAATGTTGGCTGCTATTTGTTTCAAGTATTTTACTTTTACTATTGTCACATCCGTTAACACAGGTCTGCAAACTTGAGGCTGCGAGGAGAGTCCAAAGCTCTTTTTTTTCTGGATGGAGAAAGTGCGGAGTTAGCATATGATTTTGTTTCGTCCGGTAATGCTGGTGAATAAGATGAAGAATGAAACAAGCATAATGGCGGGGTGATGGTGTCACATCCCGGCCCGGGATATGGTGGGGCCCGGGAGATCCCACATCATCCAAGGGAGTAGATCCTGTAAGCTTTATATGTATATTTCCATCTCTACCTAACACGAAGTCTTTTGGAAGCTCACTGGTTTCGAGTTCCATCGGAACTCAGAAGTTAAGCGAGTTTGAGCGAGAACAATCTCATGATGGGTGACCCACTGGGAAGTTCTCGTGTGAGTTCCCAAAAACAAAACCGTGAGGGCGTGATCGGGGCCCAAAGCGGACAATATAGTGCTACCGGGGAGTATAGCCCGGGATGTGACAGATGGAGTTACAATGGGGGAGTGTCAAATGTCCATCTACATCCCGAGAACTGAGTTATGGCGGTAAACTACCATTTTGTTGAAGGGTTTAACTGCCCATAGAATTATATAGCTGGGCACCAAAACTTGGATTCTTCTCTGCCTCAGTGACCAACTACTGTTTTTCTTTGAAGTTACTTTGAATTGTTTTGGATCAGAAAATTACTTGCTATTAAGGCTAATTAGATTATGTAACAAAGGTAAGAACAAGCTCGTTTTATCACTCTTTTCAATATTAGAAGAGGTCTTAAGTTCGAATGATACAGAAAAATGAGAGCACTGAATTGGCCGAATTTTCAAGCCTATTGGGCCTATGGATGCATACACTCTTTTTCCCGCGGAGCTTAGGCTATTGAATAATTAAGCATGGCATATATAACCTGATAAAATAAAAATAAAACTTCAATCGAAAGGATGAAAGTACCAAATAAGCAATGGGTTCAACTAGGTTCAAGATTTTCATACATGCATGGACCAAGATCATCTTATATGTAGTACGGAAAATGTCGGTATGCACACTGGACAACATACGATGTTTGTTATAGGAACAAAAGGATATCCACATCCAGTGGCGGATCTAGGAAATAATATTAGGGGAGTCAGTAAGAATAGCGCGCGCAGCGCGCAAAATTTTTTTATTCTAGAAATAGCATGCATATTGTGCACAACTTTTTTTATACTAGAAATGGCATGCATATCATCATTTCATCAAGTCTTGGTAGACCTGAAGTCATTTGGAAATGCATACTACACACTTGTTAATGTATGCAAGGGGCAGCACCCCAAGTATTCATAGACATTCATCGGGTTTTGGTAGGCCTGAAGTTGGCTGGAGGGCATGTATGAAGCCAACTTTAATCTTCAAAAGGGCAGCACTCAAGGTATCCATGGACATTCATCGAAGTTCGGAGAGTCAGCACCTAATGTATCTATGGACGTTCATCCAAGTTCGGGGGGTCAGCTGACCCCCCCTTGCCCCTTAATGGATCCGCCAGTGTCCACATCAGGATAAAACGTGATGTTTGTTACAGGAAAGTGCGGTATGCACGTCGGGACAACTTTTTTTTTTCTCTAGTATGTCCTACTATTGAACAAGAATTGATGCCATAAAAGATCACATTGGAGGTAAATGAAGATGAGCACAACGATCGAAGGATCATCTAAGTAGAAGATGACCTTTTCATTGATCATATTTATAAGAATTTGTTGGGGGCAAGAAGTACATTGATTCCAATTGGATGAGATGTGCTCTTAGACTTGCCTCCTCCTCCTGTTAATAGAAGACAAGATCAATTAGCAACTTCCAATTAATTATTTACCTCTAAAAATATGTTTAATTTGCAAAATTTTATTCAAAATAAATTATCAAATTCAGAAAACTATCGTGCATTTCTGGGAGGTACCCTACAAAAGACATGGTCGGAGGTATCTGTGCTTAAGTTTTTTTTCCTTAATTAATTATGTAAATTTGAGTAATAATCCCTATTTGGAAATTCAGTTACTGAAAATGATTTTGCTACGGTTATATATATATATATGTGGCGCATCCGTGCCATCCTTTTTTATTTTTACATAACTTTTGGCACATGTTTTTGTGAGGCCCAGTATGTAATTATTTTAACGTTCCAAATTGTCTATCTTTTAGATAGTTCATAGATTATATTTGAAAAAATTAGACAAATTTAAGGTGATTAAGATATTTATCTGTAGTGAAGAAAAATGAACAAATATTATTCTCTAAAAACACCCTAAACTCTTAAAGCAATGGTCATATGGTTGCAGATTTTGGTGATTTTTTGTGGTACATGAATCATGAGGAAAAATCTTAAAAATAGACGGACCAGATTGTTGAAAAACATTACAAAGTAGGCTATAAAAATATGTGTAAAAAATTATGTAAAAAAAGTGATGTCATCAATCTATTTCATATATAACTCATAAAATTGCGTGAGCTTGACAGCAAGATAATACGACTCACCGCAAGTGCAGAAACCAAGGCTAAATTACTCTCCAAGTCTCTCTGTTGTTTCTGTGAGATTAAAAGCTCCGTAACCATGTAAAGCACTTTTTCCAGCTGAAGAAAATCATCCGAATTAGAACTCAATTATATACAAATAATGATACAATGGAAGATACCAAACTAAATTACGTTTTTTTCTACTTTAATTAACTGTATAAAGAGGAACTAACCTCCGGCAGCAGTTTAGAGACCATTCCTAAATTATCTTCCATCGCAGCCATGGCCGAGGTCATGGCTTCATATACAGATGCCACATCTGTCTGTGATATACGGAAAGAGAGATTCACACCTAAGTGTAACGAGCGGACAAACTATCCCGACTAAAAGAGAGAGTTGAACTTATACCTTAGCATCATTGACCAAAGGGATTGTGTTTGACATTCCTGACAATTTTCTCACCAACCTGCTGATGGATTCTTGATTTTTTTTATCCAATTTTCCCCATTCATTCAGTAGGAAAATTTGTGGGTTCAAAATCTGGTACACCTTAATCTCATGCTTGAGCTTTTGCACTTGTATTCTTTTGTCTAGGATGAACTTTCTCACTTTCAATGTTCTAAGCCACACACTAAATAATTTATCCTGAAAATAAAATTTACATGGTGCACCAGTTAACTAGTAGGCCTCATTTACTCTATTACCCCTCAAAAGTGTGTTCGGATAATACTTAAGTGTTAGTGTGGCACAAACAAAGCTCGTTACATTCGACTCTCACTTGAAAACAAATAAGCACAATATCGGACTCCGTTCATGCCTCGGACAACATTTTGGACGGTATATTTGACGGGAAATTAACGGCATGAAAAAAAGTGGGTAACAACAACAATGTTTAAGGGGTGAACTGGGTCATAGGAACATCATGAAGAAAATAGTAATTTACAAACACCTTGGGGGGAATATAGTAATTGAGCATGTACATTTAATTAGTACCTGTGAAATTCTCTGTGCATCAAGCTTGGCAGCCTCAGCTCTGGCGTTTGCAAACCTCCACTGCAGCAGCCTATTATGCAAAAGGGGAAACCGGTGGAAGTCCTCCTCTTGTACCGGCGGCACTTTCTTCTGCAGCCTAAAATACTTTAAAACCCCACCAACCCCGCCACCACTAGACTTAACCCTGGCTGCCCTTGTCGAAGGCGCCGCCGCTGGGGGATCCGGTGCCACCTTGCGCGGCAAAGACCGTCCCGGGGACAAAGCCCATGCTGAAGGAGACGGCGGAGACGGCATGGACACTGATTTTCTAGGGCGTGGACTTGGACTAGGACTAGTACTCCCTCGCTGCAACTTAGCAAAACTCGTATTTATACCTAAATTATTAGTACCTTGTTGTCCAATGATATCTTCTTGGCCACCCTTCTTTTGCTTGAGTGCATGTACTTTCTCTTCCTCGTGATTCTTATTGGTTCTTGATTTCACGGTGGATTTCGAGCGCTTGGGGCTGGTGAATCTTTGGCTGTTGTTTGGCGTGGTAGTGCATGAACGTGAAACGTTTTGCGGTAGGGTTAGGGTCGGGGTCGAAGAAGTTCCACTTCTGCTTCTGAGAAGTCGAGGGCTGGATTGCTGCTGCTGCCTGCGTGACATGTATGTGTTTTCCATCTCAAGAACTAATTTCTGGGACTAACTGAAGTGATGACTTTGATTAATATTTAAGAAGCATGGATGTTGAGGGAAGTTGGTCGCACGTTGGGATTCAGCATGCAAAATAGAGTTTAATTAATTCATCAGGTCATGTTGGTCAGTATGTACTCACCAACCTTCAAGAATCATTAAATCTTAATTTTTATATTTTAAACAAAAATTTAAAATTTAAAATACTCGAAATATCGGATAGTACTCTTGGAATACATAAGAATGTTCCCACCAACCTTATAGGTTACTCTATCTCATTGGTCAACGCCAAGGAACAAAATGCCGATAATATCGGCGAAATATCGCCGATATTATCGGTTTTCACGGTAATGATATTTTAATAGGTATCCAACGGGTTTTCGTCAAAATATCGTGATATTATCGATAATATCGATAATATCGCGATATTTCCGAAACTATCGCGATATTTTGGCCTGGTTTCGACGGAAAGAGGACGCCGGAGCTTACAAGCTCCGGTCAACCCCAAAACGTGACCAACGCATGTCAAATAAACTACCAAACTGAAGCCCAAGGGAAGAGGAAGAGATCTATACCATTTTCAAGGCATGCCGTGGTCGGAGCTCGACGGAGTTTCGCCTTGGAACCCACGGTCCACACCGGAAACTGGGTTTTGGTTTTCTCCAAATTTTTGCACCGGTTTCCATGGTGCTACTATCCTTGTCTGCACTAGCAGAGGGAGAAGAAGAACGAGGGAGATGAGGGAGTGCTGGTGTGTGTGTATGTGAGTTCGGTGAAGAACCGAAGAACTAGAAGGAATGAGAGTTGCAGAGAGAGGGAGAGCATGGGAAAGTGGAGAGAAAGAGAGGACTGAGAGAGATGAGAGATGAGAGCCTCGGGGACAAAAATAAGGGGGTGGGCCCCTTGGCTCACTAATTAAGATCCAAAAACAATAATTTAAAAAAAAATAAAAATAAAAACCTACAAAGTAAAATTATAAACCAAAGGGAGGGGTTTTACATTAAGGCCTTATTCGAAGATGTGACCCTTATAAACTAGAAATATACCAACTGATGGATTGCTTTATGAAAAATTGGTAGAAGGAGACATAAAGATAAAGCCATCTAACTTGTAAGGCAACTTTCTTGACATAGTATTTTACGTCAATATAATTTTGAACCTCATGGGAACTCTATATGGTACTGAGTCACTAATGTATCTTATCATGCAATGTATAAAGTGTAAAATATTGTACTAAATCATTATATATAAATGATTATGGTGTGTTTAAACTTATTTCATTAATTACTACATATTTTCTACACTCACAATGTTTGCCAGCTCACTATATAATCAACTTAAATAAGTTAAATTCATCATGCAATGCATTTCCTTCTAATTTTTTGTGATAAACTAATAGATAATTGACTAAATAAACATCCTGCAAAGTTTCAATAAAAATTTCCAAGTTTTTCTTACAATTTCCGTGATTTCCATGTAATTTTTATCGATATCGATATTATCCCGATATTTCCATCGATATTACCGATATTACCGATATTTAATACCTTTGTCAACGCTTTAGAAAAAAATAAATATATATAACAACTATGCATGATTCTATCGTTTGACCAAAAAATAACAACTATGCATGTATGGATGTGCATGGAAATTTTCAATTAATCTTGAATTTATGATTACGAATTTACAATTGGGTAACAAGGGGATTTTTACAATGTGATATCCACACTTATTTTTACCTTCCACACACTGCTCATTAATTTTTGTTCTTTAATTTTTCTTAAATTTATTCGATTATATGGCCAGAAATTAAGAGGATTGTGTGGGACGTAAAAATGTGTGTGTGAATAGAACCACCCAAAAATAAAAACTATGCATTATAATGAACTTTGCACAAAATTGTAAAATCAACTAAAAATCGTGTGTGTTAACATAATTTTTAGGAAAAATGCAATTTTTTATTTTCACGAAATATTTTTCGTATAAGTTAAGGAAAATTTTATAAGGCACTTGGAATTGGTTTTACCATTTATTGAGCCTCAAATGTATTTTTAATAGAATATTTAAGACGAAAACTAAACAATAAGCGGAATAAATAGTAGCCAGGTCCAAAACATTGCCAAAATAAGGTTGACTCATTTTGGAAGGGCAAGGGTGATAAGAACATTCTTTAGACGTTACCAAACACGTAGGACCCTCACTTCGTCAATGGCGTTAAACATTCTCACCACAGTGGAAGGTTCACGGCGGTGTGCTGAAGTAGAAAGAGGCAAAGTAAGCGCCGAAGCAGATATGTGGTGGGTAACGTGGGTTATGTGCACGTAAAACGAAGTAGGCTCTGCCCATAAAAAATGAGGTGGGCGCCATCACAAAAAACAAGGCAGAATAAAGTTGTGCACAAAACGAGGTGGGCGACGTGTGGAAAATGAGGCAGGCAAAAAGAGGCAGGCTCGGAGCACTGGTCAACTATGGTTGGTCGAACGAAGCATTGGTACTGGGGTGGGGCATTTATAAGTCGCTATCAACCATGATAGAATTCACAGTAAAGTCCCCACTTTTAACATTGTAACTTCTTCATTAAAAAAAAATTTATCCGCCGCGCCATGGCAAAGAAAAAAAATTTGAGTGCGCTAGACACTAAATCGCACCGAACTCATAATGTTATTTTTATGGCCCACTACTATTCACACGCTCCTAAACTCTAAAACATCAATTTTATTTATTTTATGTTTTTTTTTAATTTTTGTTAAAATTTTTCTTTTTTCCCTTACCATAATACCAAACTATCATCTTCATGTTTTACAAAATGTATTTTTAGTGAACTTTTTTTAATAATCCATGTGAGAACACTCAAAAAACAAGAATATAAATATAAATCTAAAGTTATTTGATTCTAAATAAAGTAACATAGGAAGAAAAAAAATATTTGATGGGAAAAGAAAAAAGTACAAAATAAATCAATAAAATATAAAATGTTACGATCGGTACTTCGTTACCGCTTTTAAATGGTGAATGTCGCTAGTGTAGTAGTTACAATTCAGCACAACAATCGCTAAATTCATACCGATTCTTCCCTTTTAATTTTTTTTTTGTTTTTTATTAATTTGTTTTTTATTGCTTTTACTATTATAACAAATTACCACATTGTTCTTCAAAATATACTTTTCTGTACAAAATCTGTTATATTCATATTTAAAAACTTGAAACCAATGATTTAAAATATAAATTTAAAGATATTTCAATTTAATAGCGGTTACTCAAATAAAGTAACGTATGAAGAAAAAACAAAAAAGCAAAATAAATAGATAAATTGGAATAGGGAAAGATCTTTACCACGCTATTGATCCTCGTCCAGTCGTCCGGGGCGACATCTGGTGGTGGCGGGCATCAACTACCGGCTTGTCATTTCCATCTTACATGAATTCTCAAAATCTCACGATGCAGCGAAGGTGAAAGCAAATGGATATTATGATGAACTTTGGACAAAATTGTAAAACCAACTAAAAACTGTAGAGTTAACACACACGCTTTTTTTGGGAAAAATTGAAATTATTTATTTTCATGAAATATTTTGCTATAGCATTAAAGGACACTTTATAAGACACTTGGAATTGGTTTTAACGTTTACGGAGTCTCAAATGTATTTTTAATAGAATATTTAAGTCGAAAACTAAACAATAAGTAGAATAAATAATAGCGATGCCCATCACACTCGAGAATATCAATGAAAAGTCTTACATGAATTCTCAGAACCTCATGGCGAAGAGGAGATGAAAAGCAAATGGATTTTATAACGAACTTTGTACAAAATTGTAAAATCAACTAAAAACCATGAGTGTACATGAAAATGGTTAATTATAATCTTAAATTTGTGATTACGTATTTACAAGGGATTGGTTTTGAATTTCATATTTAATGGAAGCAGATCCACATGAATCGTTCAAATATAAGCATATTGAGATGAAGATCCACCGAATCTACATTTTTTATCGGCGAGATTGAATCTGATTCACGTATTGTTATATGAGTAAATGTCACACGAAAAAGTGACTTTGCGTACTCCAACTGAGGGAAGAAATTCACCAAGAATCTTCAACCTCGTAGTTAAGTTTGCCACTTAATTATAAATTTACAAGCATCCTATGGGTAATTTAACCACTAAGCTGTCATCTGTTTCAGGAATACAAACTTAGCAATTTACGATCGAGTTCTTTTTTTGTTTGGTCAAATTCTACAACGAAGTTCATGACCTTTTGATTCAATGAATGTACACCAATTTACACTGAAACTCCAACAATTAATCTCTACTGTAGTATCCACGTTAAGGGGTAAAATAGTGAGCTAAGTCTCACAATGGACTAGCATGTGGTTCAAATTCGTTTTTGGGGAAAATCAAACATAAGACCTCTCACTTACAAGTGAAGATGAATATCACTAGGAACGAAATAGGAGAAAGTATACAGAAAATACAGTTCTTTTCTATTTTCATTAGTATTAGATCAGCATCTACTAAAATTTAACCATAGTCAATATTTTATTATCATACGAAATCCCTAACAAATAGAGAACAACTTACATACATCCTCTGGGACGCTAATGGGGTGGCATCACATGCCAAACAAAATGTCATGTGTTAACTAGAGAAACAGATAAAAATGGAGTATGATTCTCTCTTCTCCAAATTATTGTTTCCTTATGTTCCCTCTTATTTGAGTGGTTGCGATTAAGTTATATCAACATGTTGTGTTGACTTGTTTATAAAGAGAAAAAGAAGAAGAAAGTGAGAGAGAAGAGGAGGGCAAGGAAGGAAATTTGGAGGTAAGAGAATGCTAACATAAAAATAACATGGAACATCTAGGTGAGCAAAAGCTTCTCTGTCAAGTTTCAACTAACCTCTCCGCAGCAAAACAGGCTTTCTGATTGGGATGCTTGTCATCTTCCAACCCACTTTTATCAAGCAAACATGTGTGAAGTTAAAACAAGAAAAAAAATTTCAGTCCAGTATTCTTCTGTGACCCCTTGCTTCTTTGAGTAGAATTGTTCATTGGCATTTCGCTTCCTTGAACTTGTATTTTTGTGAATTTAAAGTTATGATTAATTACTATATTTGATATGACAGTTTCAATTTTTGGCCACGACATTCTTGTAAGGATGATAATTAATGGTCAATATTTTTCTCTACTATATCCTATTTTTCAATTCGAGAATGACTTATATGTAACAAGTTTACAGTCATAGTAGCATACGTCTGTTCTAATAAATCAATAACATGTGTACATTTTTCAACACATGACGTTGTATTATTAAATCTAAACACATAACTCGTTTCATGTAAATTGTTCTCCTCCAATTTGTACATTCATCTTGATAATTCTTTTAAATCATAAAAAACATGAAAATGTATATAAAACAATATAAATATATAATAACAATGAGATTTGAGATTCTAAAGATTCAAAACTAGGAGTGTTTATAAGAGTAAACAAGTTAAGAATGGGAGGAACAACACGGATAATGTTCTAGCACATTAGAGGCAACAAGACCTAATTTGACAAAAGTTAAAAATAAAAAATGCCATCTCTATTTTAAAGTGCCATAAGGTGTTGGGTTAGGCCATGCAGAGAGTGCAACCCTCGAGTTGAGTTGTCGTTGAGTTTAGAATTCTGAACAGGTTGTCGGTGCTTAACCAAAGGAAGCTAAAGATGACATCACGTCATCATGCCCCTTGTGCCTTAGGTTATGTCGGAACTAACTTAAATTCTGCTAGTAGACACGACATTTATCAATTGAAGTAGAAGTGACACCGTGAGTTAACTCTTGCAACTAATTTTTTATACATACTGATTTATCCAACTTAGCTACAGTCGAGAAGGTATAAAACCCTTATTTAATTAAATGCAAAATGGCATTATTTGACTGGTTATGTCATACTTTTCACCTCATAAAATTACCACATTACACCAGAAATAAAAGAAGAATCCAGAAGAAGATAAGAAGGGGGAGAGAGAGAGAGGTTCAGCTGCATGAGTGGGCTCTTTCTCTCTCTTGACTTGTTCACCAACTGTGCAAACTATGAAGGAGGAGATGACAGGTAGAAACTTAAATCATTTTACATTCAAAAAATAAAGCACAAACTTTTTTGCATTTTTGGACTTTAATTCTCTCTCCAAACTTATATTTTTGTCCTCATCTTATTCAAAATTTTAATTAATTTGTTTTCCTAAAGAGAAAAATGAGGGAAACAGTTTCGATCGATAAGCCTTTTAAAAACAAGTGGCTGCACAAGCAAAAACAAGGGCAGCTTCATGCAACTTCTTAATTTTTTTGGAATGAGGATCCTCTCTGGATTCTCAAATCGTGTCTGTTTATCGTATATCGTACGGTTGGTTTTTATTAAGTACTGTTTATGTTTAATTTTAAATAAAAATATTTAAAATAATTTATGACTGCATTATAAACGATGAACGGACATGATTTGAGAATTCCCAAAATCCTTACAAAGAGGATTCGAAAATCGAGTTTAGCAATTTTGACACTCCCGGTTTAACTTCTGAATACCAAAATCGAGTTTAGCCATTTTGACCCTCGTAATTTAGCTTAAGAGAGCCAAAGTCGAGTTTAACTTCTAATGACAAGAAGCTATATACTGATACTGCCAAAATCGCTACCTTAATTCGTTCCATGCAGTACAAAGTGTAAACTATTAAAATATTCAAAAAAAAAAAAAAACTCCATTAAAATATCCAAAAAAAACCACTGTATAACATCCTCAACAGAGAAATGAGAAATTTCTAGTTCATGTTCATCAGTATATACACAGAAAGAAAACCATGTTTGGAAAACAAAACAACAGGATGAACACTTTTTAACTTTTACCTCTCCAACTTGTCAATGATCAAAGATTTCAACTTTCAAATAAGCACTTGTAGTTCAAAAGCACTGTTTTTTTACTGCATTAATCGGAAACTGTTGAGAATTCAACCTGGCTAACCTCCTCTTCTTCCTCCTCTGGTGCAGGGAGATTGAGGTCAATGACCAAATTGTCCACAAAATTAGTAGAAGACGATGGCAAATTAACATTCCTAGTAGGGGCATTGGTGGTCAAATTGTTGTAGTAGTGTACTTTTTTGTGCCCACCAAGTGCTTGACCAGAATCGAACTGTTTGAAACAAACAGAGCACTCAAATGTCCTGTGATTCTCCACCACCGCCAAATTACCATTCTGCCCATCATCTTCCTCAAAATCTTCATCTTCTTCCTCTTCATAGTCATCAAACACTTGGGTTTTCAGGATTTTCTTGTGACTCGCTCTGTGCCCTCCGAGCGCTTGATAAGATATAAACACTTTGTCACAAGTCTCACACTTGTACTTCCCCCGAGTCCGAACCCGAGCATGTGACCGAAAACCAAAACCGCCTCGGTCGTCGGATTCATCCTCTTCCTCCTCATCCGCGGATTCATCCACCCCATTTTTTACTTTTACTTTTTCCCATTTATCCATCGAGAGCATGATAAGACACATAGCCACATCTTCAGTTGAAAAAGCATCGGTAACAGAACTCACCTGCTCTGCCTCGAACGGCATTGTCAGCGACGATTTCCCAATCACTTTGCGGCGCCGCTTGGATCTTCTATGAGTTGGGTTTCGCGGGTGGGACTCGCTGTCGCTGTCTCCGCCATCGTGGACCACGGCTGAATCCAGAGAAGAATGCATGGCCCTGTTCGAAGTCGAAAATGGAGGGGACGACGACTCGGGCGAGTCACTGAGTTGCTGATGCTGCTGCTGCGGCGGCGACTGCGGCTTTGGAGGGAGAGGAAGCTTGGCGAGGTGGGATCTCATGTGACCCCCCATCGCTTTTCCATTGGAGAACCGCTTGTTGCAGATCTTGCAGATTCTCTGCTTCTCCATGGAAGATGAAGAGCACCAAATCTCTGTTTTCTCTCTCTAAAAACTGTGCGTTTGATGTGGGGAGAGAGAGAGAGAGGGGAGAGTGTGAAACTTAATAGGGCACTTAATATGGTGAGTAGGTGACAAGCATTTCTTTACGCAAAAGGAACAAAACCAGAAATATATGTCCTTCGGAGGCCGTGGCCATATGGGACATGGTACTTTGTATTTTTTGGTTAGTGCTTGAGCGCTCCTGTTATATATGTTTTCGGTTTTTTTTCTTTGTATATATGGTGCAATTATGATAGTATCCGACTCGCATCGGTGTAAATCTGAACGCATTAAGTAGTAAATTCAAATGCATTCTCAAAAGAAAAATAAAAGTTCATTTTTTTCTGGACGTGGTTTGTATTTTCATATGTTTTTGCTCCTTTTTGGGTTGAATGTGCCTTTATTTTAGTGCTTATTTTCTGGTCAAATAATCTCCCAATGTGGATTACTTGCCTTTTATTCATAAATGATGAAATATGAAGTTTTATCTTGATTATAAGTGACCTTTAGGTTTCAAAATTATCCAAATGTGACTTTAGGTGACTGGTGATCAGTTATAAATAAAATCAAATGACACAAAACAACTTTCCTAATTTGAAGGATATACTTATAATAATAGCTTTTACAAACGATAGTATTCGTAGGTTAAATTGTTGGAGGAGGAGATTGGTGGAGATCGAACCCGCACCAAATTGCATATGCATCGTTACTTTCTGCCACTGCGACAAAGTGGCATTTGCTACATATTACTAACTATTATGTGAACGTTTTTAAGCATGGCCAAGTTTTATACATAATCACAATACGCCGTGTCAGTTGTAATGTGTCACGTAGACTATAGAATTACACGTCAATACTTGAATTTAAGTGACACATGAACGACATTTCTAAGCACTTCCAAGTTTTATACATCGATCACAGTACGCCGCGTTAGTTTTAACGTACTACGTAAACTGCATAACTCCACGTCAATAACTGTGTTTAAGAGACTTGTGAACACGATTTTCTACTTATTTTTTCTTTGGGAGGTACTATTTACCTAGTTAGGCTAGTTTAAACCATATTTTTTTACATTGACAGGAAAAGAAAAAAAAAATTGTGTGTTAAAAGAACACACAACCCTACATGCACATATAATATTACCGGTAATTTGTGTAAAATAATTCTATAAATGTTGGAATCTGAATCTTGATAATCTAGAATTATGCAAAACAACGGCTGTAAATTGGATTTAATCTCTGATTAGTTTGCATGGATTGGAAACAGTCTTCGAGAAAGGAAGCTAATTTGGATTCCTTAAATTACGAGGTGGAGTTTAAGTTGGACTGAATCACGACAGGAGTTGGGTAGGGCTGTCTTGGTACGATATGGGGCCGCGTGACTCGAAAAGTGTGTTTTGCTAAGCAAGTTGGACCCTAATTCGGGTCCAGGTGCGGTGCAAATAAAGCCTCGTATATGATAACGAGTCATGTTGGGATTTACCCATTAGTGTAAACTAGTAAATTTTACCCGCACGTTGTTGCAGGAGCGAAAATATAATTATAGACTATATTTTTAACATATAAATAACCAAAGACTAAGATAAACATGTAGAAAATGGAGCAAATATTTTTACAAAGTTGTCTAAGTTTATATGACTTACAGAAAAGACATTGTCAAATGCCTTGTCATTGATATACAAAAATAGCTAGTCAAGTATTCCTCATTGACAGTCATCCCAGTGCTTCATTTGTATAATTACTTGAACATGGAATATCTCATAAGAGCACATTTTCCTTTAAGCGTTCACTGCAAATAAAACAATTTGGATCATCCGGAGGAAAAAAAAAAAGTTACAACTGAAACAAAATGTTAATACAGTTGTAATTAATTAGCAGTAATACTTTTACATGAAGGAATCGGACAGATGATGGCAAACTACGATATCAATAAATGAAAAAAATTTCAACAGCCATCATTCATTTATATATAGGAATAATAAAATCCATTTGCATTAGCTCTGGATCAAGTTCAACTCAAGGCTACAAAAATTTTAAACCCAAGATTCAGATAGCATTATTCAACCCCAAAAACCAAATAGTACATTTAACCGACTTAACATGATTGAAGGCATAAATCAAATCTAGGAAATTATACTCAACCTGCAATGCAGAAACGAACACTGTAGCTTATATACATTTTCAATGTCCTCAGCAAGTCCTCTCTCCAATGGCTCTGCAATCTACAAAAGGTTTTTAGAAGATTATAATTTAAAAACTGAATAACATAAAATTTCTGAAATTAGGTTGCTTCTTATCATAGTTATTTTATTCTTCTTATTGGATGTTTCAACAAAGCATTTGATTGACAAAGGCTACACTGTTTCACAAAATGAAACAACATGATCAACCTACAAACAAAAGCATATCCATCAAGAAAAGAAGAACATAAAATTTTACTTTAAAAAGAAAAAACGTGAAGATCACGAAGATTGTTGGAGACCGATTCCAAAAACAAATACAAACCTAGTAAAATTCAGCTCAAATTCGTGCAATATAATATAAGCCAAACAACCCCAATTTTCTTAGGAAACCAAGAAAACCCAAGAAAAAAAAAACGAAAATGTGAATTCCAAGATCTAATTAAAAGCACAGTGCAAAGATAAATTATATACCTAGCCCATAAAGGGTTTGCAAACCCCCACAACAAAACCCTAAAGTTGGAAGATAAACGTTTCCTGCAACCAAAAACAAAATCAAATAAAAGATCCACACGCAAAATAGGAAAAAATAAAAAAAACACTTAGTAGGAATCGAATTTTACAACAATCAATTAAAAAAATTTCTTACCAACCAAGCACAGAATAACGGCACACAACAACCAACGCACCCAAATCGTTGTGATTCCTCTGCGGAAAACAACGGGAAAAAACAGATCAACCACCCTTCTAAACGATCGGATCGTGATAAAAACAGCGAGTCACACACAGAGAAACGCAAAGAGAGATGGAAAAACAGAGAGAAGAAAAGAAAAGGAAATGAAAAAGTGGAAGATGCTGGAAGTGGAAGTAAATGTGTAATGCTCTTCCAGTATCTTTCCTACAAAACGCAACGTGGCCAAAGCTCAACCAAAAACACCAAAAAGCACCTTTCAAACGGGAGCAACAGGCTGCAAACAAAAATGAAAGAGGGGTAAAACCGGATGGGCACGGTTAATGAACAGTACCCATCTGCTGAGCTTTAGTATATATAGAATAGAATATCATTTTTTATCCTTTTTGTGCCACAATCCTGTGGTCGGGTTGAATATCTGATATTTTTTAATCAGTTTTTCGTCCTACAACCGATTTTTTTATCATTTGTTTATCTTTTTCTGTACCACATATCATGTGTGTGGGTTTAAAAAACCAAGAACAGGTTAAAAGAAAAAAAAAACTTATGAAAAGACCTTGAAAACTTTGAGTTTTAATGATAAGGACAAAATAAAGGTAAAGTGAATATTATCAAGTTTGACTTTTTAATGTAAAAATGTGATTTTTTTGTTAAAGTGAACAGTACTGTGAGTTTTCGTTAAACTTTCCAAAAAAGGAAAGGCTTCACGATCACGGATGGTGGACACGTGGTGTAGAAGAGCACCAAACCGGCCTCACCATTTTTAATCATTTTCTTTCCCTGCTCTAATTTTTTTTATAAATTTTTATAGTTTGTCCTGCCACACAACATGTGGCCGGATTTAATTCACATTTTTTAATATATTTTTTGCCTGCCATCAGTTGCTTTAAACACGATGACAGAAGAATGGCCTAGGAGGGCAAGGAAGTCATTTTACTGTAGAAAAGATGGCAAAAAAGTGGCTTAACAAAGGAATTGAGGGGCATTTTGGTCCGCGCACTGTCCGTGAACAGTACAACGTCGTTGGGGTTTTAGTATAGGTATAATGTGTATCCGTGTTAACTCATGATTTGGAACAATATTTATAATAAACAAAATTTTAAAAGACGTTTACGTAGAGTTTTTTCTTGAAAAAAGATATGTACGTCTCTTGTTTCATTAATATGTTCTCATATGAGAATAGGAACTTATCAAGAGTTTTAGTGTATCTGCCACAATTTAAAAGGGCGACATTAAGTTAATAAAGCTCCTTGTTTTGTGATGGCCGGGGGAATAACGTCTATTGTACACAACCTTACCCTTATTTTACAAATAAGTTGTTCCCACAACATGAACTTGTGATATTTTGGTCAAAAAGGAGCAACCTTCCCATTGCGCCAAAGCTAATCGTTTGCAACAATTTTAAGTGAAAAATCAGCTTAGACACTCTTGTCGATTTTGGGTTGGAACATGGATCCCCAATGGATACTTATCAGCCCTCACGATATCAGGTAATGTTTTACGAAAGATTATGTTCCGATTTTCGGACTTACTGCAACAATTCCTCGAAAACGTCAGATAAACAAAGCAATGCCAGAAGCTGGTAATGCTTGATCATGTGGGGGATTATATAGAATGTTTTAGGCTATTGCGAAAATTGTAATGTGCTCGGATGTTTTTTACATGTCAGAGAATACTACAAAGTCCTAAACTCTTTGATTAGTTGTTGGTGGGCACTCCAAAGCTTCGTTTGTTATGTTTTCTTAGGAGAGACTGTTTTAGCTGGGATTACAATCCTATATTTAATGTTGTCTGAACTAACAAATAAATGTGATCAAATTGTGCACTCTTAAGTACATTTTCATGTTTATGACGAGAATTGAACTTAAAAGTATCTTATTTACGAACCCAAAAAAAAAAAAAAAAAAAAAACCCCGGACTCCACTTCCAACTTCCCCTAGAACGTCAAAGCCCGTCAAATTTCTCCTCTTTGAGGGAAAAAGAACGCGTCACTCCCACGCCCTACTTCTCTCTTCCCGCCTAAATCCTCCAGAGTCCCATCAATCAAGTCCCACCCTCTCTACCTTCCCGAAATACTCCGTCAATCTAGTCTCCTAGGGTTTTGTCTCCGACCTTCGCGAGAACGCCATCGCACTCCGACGCAGCCATGGGTGACCCTATCTCCGGCCTCCGCCAGCGTTCCGGGTCCGGCATCGTCCAGAGAGTCAGATTGGAGAACTTCATGTGCCACAGTAGCTTGCAGATTGAGCTCGGCGACTGGGTCAATTTCATCACCGGCCAAAATGGAAGTAAGCCCTCCTCTCTCTCTCTCTCTCTACCTCTGTCTACTCTCTCTCTATAAATGCGTCTGTTTGAATTGGGTTTATGAATTGTATGTGAAATTGATCGAATTTATGATTTTTTTGGTAAATTGGGGGTTTGAAATTGTGTATATATGAGTTGATTGTTTGTGTTTCTGTAGGTGGTAAAAGTGCAATACTGACAGCTCTGTGTGTGGCCTTTGGGTCTCGAGCTAAAGGCACAAAGGGCGTCGACATTGAAGGATTTCATAAAAACTGGTTGCAGGTTCGTGCCTTCTGCCCTTTTTCCAGTTTTCCTTTTTTCTTAGGTATGTGTGGCATGTTTTGGTTTGTGTGTGCACGGTATGGCAAATCATTGAATTTTGAAAGTGATATGTTATAGAAAAGAACTGTTTGCGTAGAGGGTTGTTCCACATTTGGTTCCAACTCATGTGAATAGTAACAGATAGAGGGTCGTGGTCTACATTTGATTTCAAGTGAAAATCCAAAGATTAAACACCTGGGACTTTCAAAAGCTTTCTTCTTTCTCTTAAGAAAATTTCACCGTAAAATTTTCTGGTGGTTGAGTTTCACTTCCAAATCCTAATGCATGATGGAACGCCTTAAGTGGTTTTGACTTCTCCTGTTTTTAAGTATCTGTTCTTAAACTGCTTTTTGGTGTCTCACATTTTTATGTGCTGTGTTATATTGCAGTAATGCTGTTGTCCAAGTGGAACTCAAAAATCAAGGGGAGGATGCTTTTAAGCCTGAAATATATGGGGACATCATAACGGTAGAGCGCAGGATTTCTGGAACCACAAGCGCCACTGTTTTGAAGGATAAACAAGGTTTAAACTTTAAATTCCTTTGCTTATGTAATTTTGTTTTGCTCTCTCTGATGAGTCAGGAACGTAGTTACGTAAACACGGAGTATATAGAGTTGATTCAAATTTTATGGTATTGACTTTGAGGTATCGAGTGAATAATTTTCTTACAGTATTGCTTGTTTGTATTTCTACCTACATAAAACGTTGATTAAACTATTGACTTTAAACTTTTAAACTGATATTAATATACTTTCACATCTTGTTTGTACTTGTTTTTGGTGAATCAGCTAGAAATATTGTTGGTTGGCATATTTGTCCTTATGGCAGTTTCATTCTTTTGTCCCATGTTAAAGGTTGGCATGCACCACAAGGTTGCCTATGTATTAAAAATCTTTACAAAACATGGTTGTTACATTTTTCTTTATCCATCTTTCTTTTACTAAACATTTGTAAACTTGTTATAGGAAAACCGTTTCTTCTCCAAAAAAAAAAAAAAAAATATTTTAGGAAAACTTCTGACATGTATCAATCTTTTGCTTCAATTTTGTTTTCCATCCTTATATCATTGAAATAATGAAAGACCTGTGAGATGGAACTGTTGTTCATTATGTTTTTCTTTTCTAATAATATTGATATGATTTTTTCCCTTCATAATCTTTTCTGCTGTACTATAGTGCCAGATCATTGATTCATGACGTTGTAGTTTTCATTTGACCATGTTCTCCATCTGAGGAGTTTGGCAGGAAGAAGGGTTGCTGCTCGAAAAGAGGATCTTCGAGAGCTAGTAGAACATTTTAATGTGAGTGTTTTTCCTAGTACCAGCTTAATCTGCTTTGCATCAATTATTTTTTAGAAATTATCTGTTTGCATTAAGTTAGCATGGTAGACTAAGACTAACAAGATTGTTCACTGCTATTTTGTTGTTTCATGAAGATGATATGTTTAAATTGAGTGATAATTTATATTTGACCGCATTTAGTAATGTTTAATTGTTAGAGGTTTGTATCATGTCATGTGCATTTCAACACTTACCTTCATCAAAGTTAGACTCCTGCAAAGGATATTCATGATTCAATGTTTTACACTGCAGATTGATGTGGAGAATCCTTGTGTTGTCATGAGTCAAGACAAAAGCAGAGAGTTTTTGCATTCTGGGAATGACAAAGATAAATTCAAGGTGATTATTTATGTTGCGTGTTATCTGAGAAGAACAGAGTTCAATGGTTGTGCTGTACTGACACATGATTGTTCAGTTCTTTTACAAGGCCACACTTCTTCAGCAAGTTGAAGATCTTTTGCAAAACATTGAAAAACAGTTGGAGAAGGCAGGTGTTGTTGTTGATGAATTAGAGGGCTCAATAAGACCTATTGAAAGGGAACTTAATGAGTTGCAAGAAAAGATTAAAAGCATGGAGCATGTTGAAGAAATATCTCAAAAAGCAAAACAGTTAAAAAAGAAGCTTGCTTGGTCATGGGTATATGATGTGGACAAGCAACTCCAGGAACAGAATTTGAGAATTGTCAAGCTGAAAGATCGTGTGCCTCGATGTCAAGCTAAAATTGATGAAAAAATAGTGAGTTGACAGAGATATCTTTCTATATTTTCCTCATCGACTGTTGTCTTTCCGATTTCTTAAGAAATATTAAGTGGAAGTAAGTCTTCAGCTTTGAAAAGAATCCAGAGAATACAAACAGAAGAGATTCTTGAAGGAAAAATAGTTGTGTTTGTTTTATCTATTGTACAGGGTTCTGATAAAAAATATATCTATTTTACAGGGTCAAGTGGTGAAACTGAGAGAATGCTTCACCTTGAAGAAATCTGAAATTGATCAGATGATGGCAAAGACATCAGAAATTAGGAGAATGAAGGACGAATTACAGCAGACACTAACATTGGTACGTTGAAAGCTTGTTCTTTTTAGAAGTATCCTGAGTGAAGGATACATATTTTCTTGGGAGGTGATTTTCACACTCTTAAGCTTCTCACATACACCCTCTTATTTGTAGCCATTGGATTGAATTAATCAAATGAAACAATGGACATGATTAAACAGGGGTGCGAGAGAGGCTAAAAAGGGTGTGTGTTTATCATTTGACTTCCCCTTCCTCAGTTTCTTTATCCTAAAATAAAAAAATAAAAAAGAATGCAAGTAACTTCTGCAAATGTTTTTTTCACCAGCAAGTCATCTCAAAAGAAACTGC